TCAAGGAGTCCGTCATTTTTCTAATCTCCTGTATTTTTTTTATCAATATCTTCCTTAGAAGCAGTTAAAAATTCTTTTACTGCAGTGTGTTTTTCAGATTGGGTTTCCTGCTTATGTAAGCCTGTTCAATTTATCACCAATTTTCTCAACGCCAGTGCTCAAATTAGCCAGCTTTCATTTGCTTTTGCACACAACACTGCTTGTGTCTTAACTCTGATGTCTAATACCCTTATCCTACTTTACACTGTATCTTCAGACATTTCCCAAAACCATCTTACTTTCCTGTTGCTGGGAAGACATCATACGCAACACCTACAATTTAGAGATTTTGACTCACATTTCAATCCCTTGGCTGGCTCCAGGGCAGAATGACATGGCTTGGAATGGCAGAGAAAAAGCAGCTCGAACTGGAGGATGGAGAAACCCGAAAGGTAAATGGCCCTTCAGGCCATGCAGCAGGAACCCACTTTCTTCAACCAGGCTCCACCTCCCAGTCACATGAATGACTTGGTGATCCACTGCTGATTACATGTCCATGATCCAATCCTCTTCCAAAAGTCTCACCTCAGTGCATGAGACTTGGGGGGGGGGGTGTACATCTATTTACAAACCTTAACACCCCATGTAGTGTTTCTCATCCTTTTTGCCTTACCACCCTTCAGAAAACTATGTACTCTAACTCCATTTTGGCTATTCATATATTACAATTTATAACGGTATAAAGTATGTATTTTCTAATTCTGGAAGGTAATCTTAGTGCATCTACTTTAGTGACACTTGAACACTTTTGGTAAATGGCTGTTCTCAGGGACTTAAATTTAGATCTTTTATGCTACGTTCACTATCATACTTGCATGTCAGTTCTCTTGAAGTACAATCACTTACTTTTAAATGCTACTACGTAAACTCTGCATCACTCAATTGCTTTGAGCTTAGGGAAGTTAATAAGGCTCATCCAGAGATCAGGGTGGAAGCAGTGGTTTTATACCTGGTTATATTGACTCAAGTTGGCCTTTAGGTCAAATATGAATTCCTCATCTCAGCTCACTATAACCTGATTCTCACCACCTGTTTTACAAAGCTCCTAGAGTATTTCATCTTGGCTCATAAGGCCGTGGATCCTAGGCTACGCTCTATCATCTTGGAAACTAAACCAATTTCTTTTGTCTATAAAATAAACAGGTTCACTTGGAGCTGGAATTTATTTTTTTAAAAATGTTTTGGTACAGGGTCTCAGTAAGCAGCTCAGATGCCTAGTGATCCACCTGTTTTCTGCCTCTCCAGCACTCGGATTACAGGTATGCACCATCATGCCCAGAATCAGTCGCTGATTCAAACACAGGTCCCTGTGATTGCCCAAGCAGAGACTTAGTCTGCTGAGCTATCTCACCAGCCTTTACTCCCTTTATTTTTTAAAAAATCTTTTATTAAAAAAAATCTTCTATTTATTCATTTGGCAGTCTCACTATGCAGCTCAGACTCATAGTGATCCTGTCTCAACCTCCCCTGTGCTGGGATTACAGGCATATGCCACCATGCCTGGTTTCGGAGACACAGCATACAGTACCAGGGATTGAACCGGATCCTTGTGCTTGCCAGAAAAGGGCTTAGACCACCAAGCTATCTCCCTAGCCCTACTCCAGTTCAGTAACTGGATTGTCCCCTTAGGTCTCACTTATGCCATGCTACATCATTATCTTTTATATACTAACACTTTGTGAGAGAAGTTAATTTACAAACTTGAGAAAGCTTTGTATTCACTTATAAACATCGTAAGAATTTCAAGGTGCTAGGTATGGTGACACACACCTGTAATTGCAGCACTCAAGAAGCCCAGGCATGTGGATTACCAGACTGTAGGCCATACTGAACTGCAGGGAGACCCTGTCTCAAAAACCAAAAGGAATGTCAAGGCATGGGGAAAAAGCATGTCGTAGTGACAATAGAATCAAGTCTCAGAATAGCTGCATGGTCTTGGATCACAGCCCTCTCTGAGCCCGTTTCTTGACTGAATTCCTAATCTGACTCCACACTGTATAGTTCCTATAAGTGTCTTGAAGATTAATATTAGAAGTAATGTAAAAAACTTGTAAAGAAAAAAAAACACTATACAAATATAAATTGTTAGAAATTATATTGTTTCTGATGGCTGATAAATATCATCAAAGAAAAGTGCTTCCATAAAAGTTTTATTTATCCCCACAACAACCCTGTGAGGTAGGGTGATCAGGGCATTTGAAGATGAGAAAACTAATCTACATTACTTGCTCACAGCTACTCTGCATAGTAAATAAGTAGAAATTAAATTGAGATTTTTAAATGTCCATAACTTTATACTGATTCTTGTGGAAACAGGCAGAGAGAATATTGGCTCCCCTCTACCTTAACGCCAAAGGACACTGCCTTGAAAAATCCCATTTCAAGAAAAAAAGAGGGGAAAAAAAAAGAAGAGATAGTATTTCATTTCTCATTTCTACAAAGATTTAGAAAATAAAAAAATAGTGAAATATTTTACAGTATATATATATATATATATATATATATATATATATATTTAAAATGGTCTCATTCAGGGACATGTCCTTCAGCTGTATATATATGATCAACTATCCAAGTCCTAGAAATGCAAGCTTTTAAAAAAGTATGAAAGACAAAAATGATAATGAGCAGCAGTCTCAAGCTTATTATTCTTCCATGTATCTTAAACTCTGTGAAATGTGGTCCCAGTTTGTTTTTTTTTTTTTTTTAAAGAATAAAAGGGAGGACATAACTTATCAGAGATCTGGTAAACTTTCATTTTGGTAGCCTACTCTCAAACCACTGTGACATTATTAAAACATTATTTCCCAAAGCTGACTGTTAGTATCACCAGGAGAAGCTGTTTTCACACAGAACTCTTAGGTCCCACTCTAGATACAATGAAAATTTTCCAGTGGTAAGTTTCGGGAATCTATACCTTAAATGCTTTTCAGAGTAATTCTAATAGGTTTGGGACCCACTGATGTATCTTAAGATAGTAACATCAAAATCATTAACTAGTATAAACTGTTACACTCATCCCCTTTAAAAAAAAATGTCGGGCAGGGGAGATAGCTCAGTAGAATAAGCATCTGCCTGGCAAGTGCAAGGTCCTGAGTTCAATCCCCAGTACCACACACACAAAACAAACAAACAAACACCCCTCAAAATGTAGTATATCCCAAAGAACTCTTGCTCTCAGCAATTAATTTCAAGACATAAACATTTTATAAAAATATGTCCTACTTTAGTGAGACATAAGACTCCAATAATAATTAGAGTAGCATCTAAGTACGATAGTTTTGTGATAAAAAGATAGTTTTGTTCTCATTCGGAAATTGTATTAATGATTTTTGTACAAATTTGTAGCAAGCTTTCAACTCAAAGGAAGACATGAAAAGTAACAACACAATCAATTACATCGGCACTGAAAAATACTAAACTCAAATACAGCTCATGAGAAGAATAAGAAAGTGAGTGAATGTCAACCCAAGACCTCCTGGCCCATACATTTTTGTTCCCAGTCCACTCTTCCCCTATAAGGGGAAATCATTCTTTTCTAGTTGCTTGGCATAGTTATTCAGTGGGTAACTATTAACTAATTTAGATACAGGAGATTAAAATATAACAAATAAATACCTAGGAAGACAAAGAGAAGTCAAGTCAGAAAAACTTAACTAGCTAATGATGTCAGATATAACACCATCATATTAGTACAAATAAGTGAAGGCGTCAGTGTCCTTTAGGTTTCAGATTTTATGTACTGACTCAGTACATAAATGGAAGAGACCTGGTCTTTATGAAGAATTCTGTGCTTGCTGGAAAGATCTGTAGTAATAATGAAATGCTCTTCTTCAATGATGAGATGAAGTCTCTTTTTCAGGCAAGTTGACAACAAAACAATGAGAAATAAACGTCTTTAGAACGCTGAATGAAATATATAGCTAAAAGTCATTGGCCAAAGATAACTTAAAAAAAAAAATTCTATGTTAACCCCCCCAAAAAAACCAAAAACCCAGAGAAATATTAAAAAACAATGTACACATCCATTTCACTGACAGTTATAAGAAAATAGCCATTTATAGATGTTACACAATACTTTGAACAAATCCCAAATCAATTTTGGGAAACAGATAAAGCCATTGGGTAAATAAATATACATACTAGCTAATATAAAACAATTTATGGTTATGAAGTCTCATCATTCTATTTTAGGACTCAAGGAGAAATATGGTGATAAATCTAGGGCTACATATATTACATGAAATTAAAAATCTGACTGAAACATCCTTTCTAACAATGATACAAACAGAAGAATGTCTTAAAAGCCAGAGAGCGATCACTGGACATAGCACAAAGTGACTATGTCCTTCAGAGTTGTTTGTGTATACGTGTAACTTCTGCTGTGTCTCATTATGGATCCATCTCTCCTGCATTTATTACAGTTAGTTTTTTCAGGCTTCACATTTCCTGTGTGAACTGACGGGCTGGGCACATCTCAATTAAAAAAAAAAAAATGCACTTCCAATTAAATGGAAGTATTCAATATCAAAAGATAAAGAGGTAATGGGAAGATAAAACACTAAGTAGAAGGAAGCTGACTAAATTGTTACTTTATAATTTATTTTTATATTAATAATTTAAAAATTACCCAAATCTAATGGGAAAAATATATAGTATTAAATTTAGTTTTGAGAATTTTCTCAGGCTATATAAAGTTTCTTTTATTTACACAACCTTATGTTGTTTCATTTTTCAAAACTTTAGGGAACTGTCTTGGTATGGGGCTTACAACAACTTTACCATTAATAAAAGATTATTTATTTAAAAGTTGCCTTTTTATTATTAAAGTGGCACAGGTATTAGGTGCTTACATTTCCCTCTAAGTTATGGGAAGGCCCTTTGAGACTTTTACTTAATTAGGAAAACTTTCAGCAAATATGATGGCATGCTGAAAGTTCAGATTTTGTTTTGCTGTTTGAGCATAAAAAGGAAGGGAACAAGGAGTAAATGTAACTAGGTTCACAATTTTGAGCAAGAGCATATGTAAAGGTAACGTATGTACATTTTATTTCAAGAAAGACATAAGACAAACAGCATAAAGATGCCCAGATGCCCTAAAGATAAATACATTTCAAAGATTCTCATTAAAATGAATCTGTAGTATTTTTCCTGCAAGCAAAATACCTTCCTTTAAATTAAAAAAAAAAAAAAAAATCAGTTTCTGAATTGCAAATTCTTTTGCTTTTTTTGCAGAAAATCTGCCACGATTATTTTTTAATGAATAAGGATTTTCCACAAAACAGGCTTGTTCTACATGCTAGATCTTTAAACAGTTCAGTGACACAATATGCTAACTACATACACAACAGATAATATAGTAAGAAAACACTCAACCTGATGAAAAGTTAAAATCTTCATTAATACACTGAAAACTGACATAACTCATGCCTTTAAAATCAAAAATACAAAAATTAAATGTTTTCCTAAAAAGATTTCCTTATTTTAAGGATTCATCTGAAAATGAAGCTGCATGTAATTTGTACAATAAGTTGTACAAGTAAACAGGTAATATACATAAAAAATTAACTGACATACTCCTTAATTATCAGTTGTCCACCTTTAATTTCCAATACTGTACTTTCTTAACAAGCATACAAAATATCAAACTTTTCTTTAGAAAAAGTGCCGTTCTTTGACATCCTTTACACAAACAGTCTGAGCCTGTGGCATGTTAATGCAGTTGAGAGGCAAAGCATACTTTTACAAATTCTACCTTCCATAAAAAGCCTCACGAAAAGATTACACGCCACTATAAAAATATCAACCTCTTGTGGTAGCTGCATTAGAGAACCAAGGCTTGAAGACCATTTTCATATAGCATAGAAAACCACTATGAGAGCACATTAACTGTATCGGTGGCTTGGGAGTGTACTGTGCCACAGGATTATGCATAGCTACTGTTAGGTACCAAGCTGTTACACAGAGTTGTAAATTGATTGTAACTGAGAGCATAACAGAGGTACATACTATCAGCCCATGCGAAGTAGAAATACTGAATCACTGTGCTGAATACTTCATTCCTGGAGAAAACCAAAGCCAGCAATACCTAAATCAAGCCCAACAGGTGACTAAACTCATTCTCCTCAAAGATTGGTGAGCACAATGAAGTCTGAGGTATACCTTTATCCATTAAATCTGTGTGCCATTGCAAGATATTACCATTTGGGAATACACACCATCACAATGGTTTAAATCTTTTGAATATTAGTCATTCATAAATTCTTATCTACCCAGTCTCTTGATTTTTGAAAAGATTTCACCTACAGTAGAATATTACAGAAACAAAATATAAATGCATGTCTTTCTAAATGAAACTTACATGGACTAAAAGTAGAGAATATTTTTAAACAAATATACAATATGCAGGCAGACAAAGCAGGAAAACGGCCATTCAAACGTATAATAAAAAAAACTAAAAATTGACTATTTCCAGAAAACTAAGAAGCGCCTCAACTAAAAGGAATGCATAATGAAATTCTAATCTAATACAGGTCAAAAATGTAAAAAGGTTATAAACCTTAACAGGAAAAATAAAACAACTTTTACTGGCCATTCCTGTTGAAATGAGAATTGTAAAGTAACAGAAAAGTGGCTACAAACCCACTTAGAGCACCAAACAGAGAGAAAATAAAAGTCCATTTTCATCTCTGTTATTATCATAAAATCCTGTGTAACTACAGGTCAAACTGCTGGTGGCAGAAACAGAATTCTTTATAAACTGCAGATGTCCTGTACATAAAAAAATTTCACTGGAGTTGCACTAGTTCTAAAGACTCTTCTGTTTTAGCCTACCTACTGTATGTATGCAATCTGAGATAAAGTCTCTTTCTGTAACCCTTGATTATTATTGGGCACCAAAGATAAGAAAAGCAAGACAGGGTACAAAAATGCAAAATTTCAACAGTAATGGCAATGCTTTTGTCTTAGTCCAAAAGGGTCCTGCATTCTCTCCCCCTTCAGTGTTTTGGTAAGTCTTTTAATCTGGGGGCAGCAAATCATGCAAGCGAAATCTGTCTCTGATGTGAGGTCGGACATCTTCATTCTGTGAGAAAAAAACAGTTTGTTGTTTTTTTTTTAAAGTCACTTAATGTCATAGATTTTATTTTAATAACATAAGCATTTTTTGGGGAAAACTGCATTTTAAAAAAAAATGTATTTAGTTGTTGCAGGGTCTTACTACACAGCCTGGACTTGTGATTCTTCTGCTTTCAGCCTCCCAAGTGCCAGGATTACAGCCATGTGCCACTATGCCTGGACTCTGGCTGGCTGAGTCTGCTCTGGGGGCATGGCTGGCATGGCACGTGGTGCTGGATCAATCCATGGTCCCTGTGCTTGCCTAAGTAGGCATTTTAGTCTGCTGAGCTATCTCGCTGGCCCCAACAGACTGTTTTCCTTGTGATTAATCCCTACACAATACAGCCCAATAATTATTTACATATCATTTACATTGTATTAACTATTATAAGCAATCTAGGAGTGATCTGATGTCAACAGAGTATCATGGAATCAATATCCAAAGAAGTTATCAAGGGATAACTGCACAGGAATAATACTATTAACATAATTAACTTAGAATTTAGAAAACATTCATGGAAACCACTGGTGGGCAGTAAGCACTACGGTTTTGGACCCCAGGTGAAACTCCAAATCACTACATTCTCTCTGAGGCCTCTTCCTACCTCTAGGAAGGCTATGTAGCCTGAGATTATCTGCCTCCAGCCCAGAAATTCTCAGCCAAAGCCTTTGTGGAGGGGCAGCCCTCTTTCTGTCCTTGGCTTTCCAATGTTCCTGGCCTATTTGCTTTCCTAATGTATCATTTCTTCATTTTCTTGCATTGAAGACCTTCCCCTAATCATTTGGGCCCATTTACTGAATACTGATGAATTTCCCTTGAATAATGACTGTGTCTGTCCATGTCAGATACCCCTAGTCCCTGTACTAGGGACTAAACCCAGGGCCTCCACACTGAGCTACACCTCCAGCCCTTTTACTTTTATTTTGAGACAGGGTCTGACTACCTTGGCCAGCCTGGGCTTGAATTTGTGATTCTTTTGCCTCAGCCTCCCATAGTGCTAAGATCTGAGGAGCAGACTTAAGGATATCTGTGTTGTTAGGGAGACTTTCCTTACCGCTGAGCTCTCACTTCAACCTTGCAGCAGAACCTTTGTGGTTCCAGTTGGTGGCACACTTAAGACTCCTCTGACCTGAATCACAACTAGCATCTAGTATTTGCCAATACAACCTCATACAATGACTCCCAAATCACTAGCTCACTTGTAGGTGGCTCTTCTGTTCTCACCATATACACAGCCCAGCTCCTTCAGCACTGGGGAACACTAAACAGTTTTTTGGAAAGCTCCCATGTCCATTTAACAACCACAGAAAAGAAAAAAACTAAAAATGGATTTTTTGCCCTCTTGAGATTAACCCAGATCTGTACCTCTGGTACCCTGATCAGTATTAAGCCCATTCTTCTGATGCCCTCAAAAGCATTCTTGGTACTATCTGTGTTCATACATTTTATCAGAAAGTATGCTAAATGGCATTTTATCTCTTTAGTATATAAATATAAATAGTCCTAGTATAGAAAATCTTGTTTAAATGTAAGATTGAGCCTGTTTGAGTTCTGCTGTGCATTATTTAAAAAAAAACTAGAAAATTCCTCATAATATTTTTCACACTTTCCCCTAATCTCCCACCAGTTAATTTAATTTTTAATTTTTTTATTTTTTGTTTGTTTTGGCAGAACCAGGGATTGAACTCAGGCCCTTGTGCTTGCCAGGCAAGCGCTTATTCTCCTGAGCTATCTCCCTGGCCCCCCACCAGTTAACTTTAAAAGTCAATACCCATAAAGAGATTTTAATAGAGCTGAGCTAATGAAATCACAACAGAGAAATTCTAAGGTATACTTACCAGTTCTACAAGCTTCTCCAGAAATGGAATCAATTTTAGAAGTTCATTGTCATTTTTATCCATAAACCAGCTTTCTATAGGGATTCCATTAGAAAGCTAAAATGATAAATATGTAATTAAATTCTCTCATATTTTGCCTAGTTTCTAAAAGTTTAAAAAGGAACACTAAACTTAAGCAAGTTCTTATCTAAAAGATCCTTTGAAAAGTAATGCTATGCTTTTTTTTATGTTATCAATTTTTGCTGACAATTCAATAATGCAAGAGACAAATGCTTAAGGAATAAAATGAAGCTGAATTGATTTTCTAGTATTAGAATGTAACACTAAAAAAGTTCCACAGAAACAAGCTTTAGAAAAACTATTACCATAACTAACAGTATTCTTTTGTTCATTTAATTAAGCACTATGACTATAGTCCTGAGTATTAGGAATAAAAGGATATTGCTAATCTTAAGGCAGAGAATACTATCAGAAACGATACACATTTTTCCTCACACAGAGACCAAATCCCATTCACTTGAAATGGGGTTTCACAGTATTATCCAGGCTGGCCTTGAACTCCTGCTCAAGTAAAATTGCCTCAGCCTCTCAAACAGCTGAGACTACTAGCACAGGCCATGATGCAGACTACCACTGCTGTATTCTTTTTGTCTTTTTAAGACAGAATTTCTCTATGCAGTTCAGGCTGGCTGCTCATTTTGTAGCACAGGCTGGCCTTGAACTCACAACAATCCTCCTGCCTTAGCCTCCTGAGCACTAGGATTACAGGCGTGCACCACCATGTCTGGTTGGCTGTTCTATTCTTAATTCAATTGTATTTCATTGAACAAGAGTCTAAAAATGTGAGCCCTATTTGGTATAATAGTCATCTCAATGGTAAAAGAGCTTTACTTTAAAATTTACACTAAATAGTATCTTTGAGATAAAGAAATAATGGAAATAATTTTATTTAGGAACCAAGATGAAATTTGCTTTGTCTTATTTTGAGGTCTGGCTATTTGGTCCAGACTGGTCTCACGCAATCCTCCTGTCTCAACCTCCCAAGTAAATGAGACTACATGTATATATAAAGGCACCCAACTAAAGTTCTTAAAATTCGTATTTTAAAATATGAGTAAATAAAATGAGGGACCTAGGGCTAGAGACATAATTCAGTGTTAAGAGCGTATTTTAGCATGCAGAAAAATCCTAAAATCAATGACCACCATCATCCACCAAAAGGTAGAGAGGTCCAAAGTAAACATATTTCAATACCATGCAGACTCCCTTACCCCCTTTTTAATTACTGACAACGTTAATACTCTAGTCACTATTCTTCGCTAATTTGTGAATCAAAGCTCTGAAACTATATCTCAAAAATGGTTCATCCTCAGTTGTAATTCTATAGTGTACAAAGGATACTGACAAAATAGTTTAAGAAAATATTTCAGAATGTTCAGCAGACTACAACATAGGTAAGCCAATTAAAATTTTCAACATGTTTATAATTACCAAATCAGTAACCAAAGATATACTACCGTGGCAGCTTTATCTACCTATTTTTTCCAATCTGAGTTTACTTAGCAACTCTCTTCGTACCTGATATGCAAAGGCTTGTGGTGAGTTGTCAATTATTATGGTTTTTGAAAGATCCCTTCCAAGAATATTTAAGTCCTTTATATAATTTCCTTGTACACAAACACAATGTTCTCGAAAAAGCCGGTGCCTAAACATAAAAATAAAAATAAATTTACTAAAAAAAATTTCTAAAAACTACTATATATTAAAAACAAGTATATGCATACATATACCACAGGCTTTAATAGGATAAGTCTTATTACTCAAATAAGAATTCAAATATAAATATTAGGTCTATACTTTGAGCAACAGTACAACTAAAATTTCTTAGCAATTATGGAAACCTACAACTTAATGTTATCATGACTTAAAAATCTTAGGTTTGGGCTGGTGAGATGGCTCAGTGGTCTAAAGCACCTACTTAGAACAAGCTTAGCAAAGCACAGGGACCGCGGTTCGATTCCCCCAGCACCACATGCCAGCCAGCCCCGCCCCCTGGTGGGCTGAGCTGGCCACACACACACACACACACACACACACACACACACACACATAAATAAAAAAATTAAAAAAAGTTTAAAAAAAAAAATCTTAGGTTTATCCCAAAATATTATATATTGAAATTATAAAGGGGAATTGAAATTAATTTTTTGTGATTTATTTACCCAGCAAAGCTCAGATCAGCATCTTCTTGTTAGTGAGGTCCTGTTTTTTAACCAATTTTCCAGATAGATGACTGAGGTGCAAGGAGACAAATGCCTAGTCCAAGGTCACATAGTAAATCAGCACTTAGCCCCAAGTTATAACTTTGATCCTCTTGGCTCTAAACAACAGACCATACAGCCTCCCTATCTCTGTACATGCCAGAACAAAAACTGCAAGAAAGGATGTTTTTTGTGTTGGTTTTATTAATTTTTTTTTTTTCCCCCAGAACCGGGGATTGAACTCAGACCTTTGTGCTTGCCAGGGAAGCACTTATTCTACTGAGCCATCTACCCGGCCCCCCATTACAACTTTTTTTTTTTTTTTTAGTTTTTCTTAAAGTTCTGAGAAAAGGTGCTATTCAGGTCAAAACATTCCATCATTTCAACTTTTCTTAAACACCTGTTTCCAGGCTGGGGAGATAGCTCAGTAGAGTAAGTGCCTGCCAGGCAAGCTCAGGGTCCTAAGTTCAGTCCAGTACTGCAAAAAAATCAAAAACAAAAAAGGAAAACACTAAAACCTGTTTCCTTTTAGTGTGTGTATATGAAAAATGGGTTAAAATAAGTTCAAATTCAAATTTAAATTATTATTTTAATGTATTTAGCACAGGGTTTACAGGGTCTCACTACACAAATCAGACTCGTAGTGTCTTCCTGTTTTCAGCCTCCCAAGCACTGGAATTACAGGCGTGTACCACCACGCCATCTCAGGTGTCCCAGTGTGCCCTGGAGGCAGGTCTGCATGGCATGCCAGGGATTGAACCCAGTTTCCTGTGCCCACTTAGTCTGCTGAGCTATCTATTTTTTTTTTTTTTAAGATTTTTTTTTTTTTTTTTTTTTAGTGGAACTGGGGATTGAACTCAGGTCCTTGCACTTGCCAGCGAAGTGCTTATTCCACTGAGCTATCTCCCCGGCCCCCTGCTGAGCTATCTAGCTGGCCTTCAGATTTAAATTCTAAGAAATGAGGACCAGCAAAATAGCTCAGCGGATTAAAGCACCTGCAAGAAGGTGCAGGGGCCGGGATTCGATCCCCCAGCCTGCCTTGCCGGCCCCGCCCCCGGGGCACGCTGAGATGGCAATTGAGACTGGGCATGGTGGCACACACCTGTAATCCCAGCTTTTGGGAGGCTGTAAACAGGTGGATCACTATGAGACTGATCTAGTAGTGAGACACTGAACACCCTGTAGACCCTTCCCTAAAAAATACAAGAGTAGAAAATTTAGGGCTAGGGAGAACTCAGTGGACTAAAAGCCTGTGTGGCAAGTGCAAGGACCCAGGTTCAATCCTCAGTACTGGATGTTGTGCAGGGCCCATGCTGAGCAAGCCACTAAAGCCAGACATGGGGGTGCATGCCCGTAGTCTCAGCACTGGGGAGGCTGAGACAGGAGGATCACTACAAGTTCGAGCTGGGCAGTAAGACCCTGTACAAAACAAACAAACAAACAAACAAACAAACAAACAAATAAATAGTGTGGGTCAGCTGGATAGCTCAGCAGACTAATGCGCCTGCTTAGGCAGAGTGCAGCGGCTGGGGTTCGATCCCCCATGTACAGTGCCAGCCACGCCCACAGGGCACTCTGAGACTAGGTGTGATGGTGCATGCCTGTAATCCCAGCACTTGGGTGGCTGAATACAGGAGAATCACTGAGTCCAATCAACGTAGTGAGACCCTGTAGACCCTGTCCTAAATACAGAAGAAAAAAAAAAAAAGAAAAAGAAAGTAGAAAACTTAAGATTTTTCACTAAGATAGTACATAGGGAAAAGTAAGAAAATTAATACATAGTGACCCAGGCACGCGCCTGTATTCCCAGCTCTTGGGAGGCTGTAAACAGGCGGATCACTGAGTCCGATCTAGTGATGTAACCCTGAACACCCTGTAGATCTTTCTCTAAGATACAAAAAAAATACAAGAAAAAAAAAATACATAGCTATTAAAGCCTTTGAGCCATTTGTGCCATTTCTCTCACACAAAAATTCAGACTAACACCTACATGTTACATGCAGAAAGATTACTGCAGTCTTCACTTAAGTCTCACTCCAACTAAGAAACATAACAGAAGTAACCTTTACCTTTTTTGTTTTGGCAGAACCGGGGATTGAACTCTGGTCCCTGCGCTTGCCAGGCATTCGCTTATTCCACTGAGCTATCTCCCTGGCCCCACCTTTTTTTTTTTTTTTTTGGCTGGTTCAGCCCACCCTGGGGGCGGGGCTAGCAGGGCATGTGGTGCCAGGGATCGAACTGCATCCTTGCACGCCATAAGCTTGTCTAAGCTGGTGCTTTAGACTGCTGAGCTATCTGGCAGGCCAGAAGTAATTTTTAAAATGTTTAAAAATTACTGTAGGCACTTCTGCCTAATTAAGAATACACTGTATCTGCTAGGCAAACACATGGAACTAAGCCCAGATAACCCAAGTGACAACTACAATTTTAATTTTCAATTAGATTCATGTAACATTTCCTTTCACATGGAGGATAAATATATTCTTTAAAAAGCAAAATAAACCAGATATAATGGTGCCAGCCTCAGGGAGCTGAGGGAGGTGGACTGCTGTTAGTTGAAAGTCACTCTGGGCTGTATAAGTGAGTTCAAGGCCAGCCTGAACTACATAACTGAGACCATCCCCCCCCAAAATGGGTGGGGGGGGGCACGTGAGTTTAATTTCATTCAACCCTATCTGTTAAAATTAACCTTTATTCTCTATAACATTAAAAAAATTAGGTAACATGTATTATATTATGTCAGAGAAGTAAAGAGGTAAACACCATGTGCATATCTCCATCCCACCCAACTCCAGAAGCAATGATGATACAGATGTCACAGAGAATAAATACATCTGATCAGGCTGGGGAGATAGCTCAGTGGTCTAAGCGCCTGCTTGGCAAACACAAAGCCTGAGTTCGATCCCCAGTACCACATGCAGTGCCGGCCCGGGAGCCCTGGTCACTACATGCCAGCCCTGAAACTGGGCATGGTGGCATACAACTATAGTCCTAGCACTGGTGAGGCTGAGACAGGATGACCACTATGAATCTTAACTGCATAGTGAGACCCTGTATCCAGTAAG